CCTCAAGGTAGTGAAGGTTGATCGTATATGAAGTCATGTATGGTATATGGGGCCATTCCGACCCGTTTTAGTGGTAAAAACAGGGAGTTGATTTTTCCCCCATTGACTTATAATGGGGAGGTCGCGAAATTGACCTGACCTTAGGTCACCGATATCAAAATTCCGAGATATACAAATTGCACATACTGGTACCCTAACTAAACCCTGAAGAGAAGAAATTGATCGGTCAAAAACTCTAGCTCTGGCGTGATTGCAAACTTTTCTGAGGTAGCGTCACCAAACCGCCTCTGGTGACCTGACCTGAGGTCAGATCAACTCAAAATTTTCAGACATGTTGCGTAGAAGCCTTTTAGGAAAAGTCAGAAAATTTGAGCTTCCTAGCTCAACGCGTTTGGGAGATATAACCAAAAAACCTCAGGGGGGGGGGGGCTCCTGAGGCCCCCCCCCCCCGCCAGGAATAGGGTTAACCCGCGCCCGACTGGTGGTCCTGGATTTCCACGCCCTGCTGGGGGGGTGTGTTTGAACACCCCCCCCCTCTAACTCGGCTCCTGGGCCACGTAGCGATACGCGGAAGGCGGCGTTCGAAAGAGCGTCAAAAATAATGAGGAAATTACTTCGGTCAATTTTTTGGTCAGGTCAGAGGTCAGGTCACCAGAGGTCATTGAAGGCAAAATTTCGCCGATTTCCAGGTCGAATGTCGACAATTTCCAAGAAGCCAACGCATAACTCGGGAACCAATAGAGCTACAGCCCCGCGGAAAAGCGCATTCGATAGCCCTATTAACGCCCTTTCTGAGTAATTTTCTCAGATTTGACCTAACGTCAACGGTTTTGCCTGCAGGGGGCAAAAACTGCAAAAATAGCCGATTTTTTTCGGAAACAGTTTTTCTGCAATAACTTTTGACCCAAGCCTTTTACGAGCTTACTTTTACCGGCATCGTGTTCCTCTCGTCAAGACGCATCGTATGAACTATAACCTGACCTTGAAAGGTCAACTTGAAAACTTGACCTCAGGTCAAGGTCATGACCTGACCGGAAAGGGTCATGTTGCATACCAGTCGATCCGTATCGTCGAGCTGAACACATCTAAGGCGTTTTCATCGCTCTATCATGCCTCTATCAAAAGTTATTTGCGAAAAACTGTTAGATACCATTCGTGACCTAAGATGACCTCAGGGCATAAACAGGGGTCACGGACACCATTTTCATGTTCAGTGTTTCTGAACCACTTGCAATTCAGTGTTTGGTAGTGTTTATAATGTCTTTCGTCCAAAAGAGGCGCATTTCAATTTTCTCCCATTGACTTATTTATAATGGGGAGGTCGCAAAATTGACCTGACCTTAGGTCATCGATATCAAAATTCTGAGATATGCATTTTGTACATGCTATTGCTCTTAGCAATTGCTGAACGTTTCAAAGCAATCGGTCACTCGGTGTAGCTATGACAGACATTGAAACTTTTTATGAGGTGAGGTCACTTCAAGTGACCTGGTGACCTAACCTTGAATGACCTTGGTCTGAAATTTTCACAACATGTGTAGAATTGATGTATGATAAAATGTACCAAAAACGGCGGCGCTCCGCGCTGCCGTTTTTGCGATATTCGCGAAAAACCACAAAGGGGGTGTTCAAACACCCTCCCCCCAGCAGGGCGCGGGTTAAAGACTGGTATGGGAGCTGTAAATAGCTGGCGTGGGTTTCTTATTATGCCTCGTGACAATCGAAAAGGACCAGAGCCCCATACGCCCATGGGGCCGGTTGTTGGGGGGGGCAAATGATATGATGGCCCCCTGATTAGCCTTTGGAGGGGGAAGGGCATGGCCCTGATCCCCCTCTGCGACCGCCACTGCACTGAAAGTGGAAAGGGCAGGGGAAGATAGAGACATTGCTGGCCCCCAGCCTGTTTGAACCGAGGCAGTGGGCACGGTCACCCTGACCCCCATCTACTACGCCTTTGACGAACTATGCCGACTCCAAGCAGATCCGGTCAAGCGTTGGTCGTTTGTATACGCATTCTCCTGCACCGTGCTAGTATTGTCTTATACCTTTTCAGTGCCCGCTCATTCCGCGTCTCGTATTCAACAAAATGCTGCCACCAGGACTCACAGTGTAACGAAACGACCGGCTCAGCTTGCTTCACCACGTGTGCTTATATTTTCTGCGACCATCACCGGCGCACAACCACCGCACTTTGACTTCAACTTCACACATAATTTCGGCTTCCAGAGTGTATTGGGTTTGACGTCCAATACAGATAACGACGAACGGTAGGTGCGTTATTGCTTGCAGCTCGTCCCGAGGGACCGACGAAAACCAACGACGAAAAACTGCTCGACACCAAGGCCTCGACACACTCAATATACTCTGGCCTCGACACTGTCGTGACCTTGGTCGTGACCGGCGACCGCACCGCCCCACGACACGAACTCGAATGAATGCTAATTCAATGCCTGCCGCTAGATGTCTCCCAAGCTAATTCAATGCCTGCCGCTAGATGTCGCCTACATTATTTACAACATCCTCCCAGCCTTTGAAGTCAACAGAACTTCAAACACATGGTCACTGCCGCTATAAGGTTGTGCTAACGTACACTACAACATATGGATATCGACCGCGAACTAACTAACATGATAGGTACACAGACAGTTCAGGTCTAAACGCCAAGCAATCCGACTACAGGCGGCTAATACGTGAAATTATACGCTAGTGACACTCTACCTCCAAGAGCGACAATGTATCTCAAACGCTAACCTTCAACGAAACACATCTTAAGTGCCATTCAGCACGAGTTCTCGCAGGCGAGGCAGACAACTTAACACAATACGCAAGTCTAACTAGAGTACCTGTTTAGCCTGTGGGCGCTACATTTGACCCGAACGAGTACTAATCTCAAGTAAACCAAATTTGGTTCTACACTCACGGACTTTACTCCAAGCCCGATATAAACAAAGGAACCACCACAGTCACAGGCGACACCGGACCAAACACAGAATGGACACATATACGTCACCACCGCATTTAGTAAATGCTGAAGACAGTGATCGGTCCCGCCCTGCTGCCAGTATCACTGCACCTCCAAATCGTGCAGGCGTTGGATAGGACGAGTTTTCAGCCCTGACGAGGTCCGCACCTCGACTGATCTCACTCGCCCGTCCCTCCCCATGTGAAGCTTCGTCACTACTCCGTGAACCCACCTCATCCTGGGCACCTTGTCTTCCCGAAGCAGGACAAGCGATCCGACTGCTAACCTGCCCCGAGTCCGGAACTTACCGACAACTGGCGGCAGTGAGCGGAGATATTCTGACGACCAGACCGACCAGAACTTGTTGAGCCGCTTCTCACGCACACGAGCTCTCTCTGATAGCTCTCTGGGATTCACAGAACCCGGGTCTTCCAAGACCCGTGCGGGAAAACCCGTCCCTCTGCCAGTCAGGAAGTGAGAGGGCGTCAGGGGTGGTGCTGCTTCGAGCCCGTCACCGACGAAGGTTAGAGGGCGAGAGTTTATGCAGCACTCTATCTCGAAAAGGACTGTTTCAAGCTCTGTCCGTGAGAGACACCGTGTCCCAAGTGTCTTACGGAGTCCTGACTTCACGGATCGCACGAGGCGTTCCCACCACCCGCCCCACCACGGCGAGTGAGGTGTGATAAATCTCCACTCCGGAGCCAGGTGTCCAAAGAAACGCTGCAGCTGTGCGTCAGCCCCCTTGAAAGTCGGCGCGTTGTCCGAGTAAACGACTCTGGGAACACCGCGCCTCGCCGAGAATCGTCTCAGCGCCATCATAAACTCTACCAATGACAAAGCCTCAGTCATTTCAAGGTGTACCGCGCGAGTGACGGCACACGTAAACAAACACACATAAAACTTTTTGCGCGGGAAATCGACACTGAAAATCGGCCCAGCGAAATCCACACCAGTAACTGTGAATGGCGGCGACTCGGTCACTCTACAGTCCGGCAAGGGAGCCGCCTCCTCATTACACGGCTGCGAGTCGTGCCGCTGGCACGACACACAGCCACGTTTCACACGTTTTGCGAGGCAGCGCAGACCCAATATAAAATAGGCCCCTCTGAGCGTGGCTACCATCGTGTTCACACCAGCATGACTCAGTAGGAGGTGTTGTTCTCTGACCAAAAGCTCGGACAAATGGCCTCTGGGTAACAACACTGGGTACTTCTCCTCGTACTGTAGGTCAGACATTTGTAGCCTACTGCCCATTCTCAGCAGACCATCGTCACCCACGAAGGGGGCCAATCGGAAAATGCTGGAGCCCTTTGACACTTTCTTACCCTTCTCCAGAGCGGTCCACTCCTCGTGAAACTCGCTCCGCTGCTCCTGACGCAGCAGCTCGCGCTTGGCCTCAGCCAACTCGATGGAGGACAACTCATGACGCCTGGACCTCTGCTGAGGGCAGCGACAGTTTTCAATGAAGCGACGCACCCATGCTACGACTCGCACCGCCTTTGAAAACTTTCCCCAGCGCTCTACCGGAAAGACGCGCTCAGGTTGAGTCACAAACAAACTAACATTGCTGATTTCCTCAGACTCTTTCAACATTTCTCCCCTGACAAAATCAGATGAAACGAGATCTCTGTCCGGCGAAGATTCACCGGAGGGCAGCAGCGCCTCGCCGAGATAGCGCGCGCCTCCCGCGCCGCCGGCGCTGTCACACGCCGCGGTCTCCCGAGGAGACTCGGCCGGACCCGGAGCCGATACCAGAACGGCCTCGTCGACCGGAGTCTCGCTCACCTTCGACTCGATCTGTCGTGGGGGGTGACCCGCGGTCTCCGACAGCCAGGCAGGCCCCACCAGCCACACATCAGACGCTAGCAGCTGCTCCGCCGATACGCCTCGAGTCGTCAGGTCTGACGGATTGTCCTCCCCTGGCACGAACTCCCAGTCGGCAGGGCTGGTCAAACTGTGAATCTCGATCACTCGGTTACGCACGAACTGCTTCCATCTTTGGGGATCACCTCGTATCCACCCAAGGGCGACCATGGAATCAGTCCAGCACTTTGATGCTCTGGCCTTCCCCACCAGACACAGCATTGTCGAACAGCAGAGTGCTGTTTGACCTGCATTTGGCCAGACACATGCCAGCATCAGCCACGACAGACTGAGCCTCCGAAAGGAGACTACGGGCTTCCTCCTCAGAGTCCGCCCCTGACAGAAAGTCATCGACATAGAAGTTAGACTGCATCTCGGTCACCGCACGTGACGCGTCATACCTGGCGAGGTGATGACGGAGGGTCGCGTTCAGAAGAAAGGGACTGCTGCACGTCCCGAAGCTGACCCTGGTCACTCTCATCACCCGTTCTCTGCCGCCGCAGAGCCAGATGAAGCGATGCACGTCTCGATCTTCTCTCCGAAGTCCAATCTGGAGAAAGGCTTTGACGATATCCGCTGTCACGGCATAAAGCCAGCGCCGAAACCTTAGTAGGACATCGACCAGGTTAGGCATCAAACAGGGACCCGCCTCCAAGCAGTCATTTAGACTGACACCGTTCGGACCACACACGGAAGCGTCAAACACGGGGCGGACCTTCGTGGTTTCACTGCTCTCCTTCACCACCGGATGGTGAGGGAGATAGAATGTGGGGTGGGAGACCACAATCTCCTCACTCGGGACCTCCTCGATCATCCCAGACTCCTCCAATTCACTCAGCACAGCATCATATTTAGAGCGAAGGTCGGGATCTCTATCAAGTTTTCGAGTCAAACTCCTGAGGCGGCACCTCGCGACCGGAAGGTTACTCTGAAGCTCAGGGGCATGGTCACCCTGCTTCCAAGGCAGTGCGACCTCATACCTGTCATCGCTGAAGCTGACTGAGGACTCGAAATCCTCCAACACCTTCGAACTGGCCGGCTCCTCATCAGAACGGATGCCGACGCCTTCCAGACTCCATAGGTTACGGACGGCGTCCTCGTGCAGATCACCAAGAGTCAGCAACTGGCACGATGTACTGCCTGCAGCACAGAGTCCAGAGGAGGTCACGCCAGACACGATCCAACCCAGTGAGGTCTCCTGGGCTACTAGTGACCCTTCAGAACATCGAATGAAGCCCTGCTGTACAAGACTCCAGTACACGTCAAGACCGACCAATATATCCACAGACATCTCGCGGTTCTCACTGTAGCTGTCAGCCAACTCAACCCCTACGAAAGAGGCAAGGGCTGTGCGAGGGACTCTGGGTCGCTGCAGGGGGGAACAGATCACTGGTACTTCCACAGCAGTCAACAAACACTCCACAGGTTTGGACAAGTTGGCTCCACTCACACGGAGCCCCCTCACAGCCCTCTCACAAGTGGATTTTCCCCCACCAAAGGCTGCATACGAGACAGACTCAGAGCCGAGCCATGTAGCGCCCACCTTTTTCACCAACTCTTCCGACACATAAGTTCTGTCTGACCCTGTGTCGAACAACAAAGTCGCTAGGACTGAGCCATGCGCTCCATGTACCAACACTCGAGCAGTGGGGAGCACAACACATTGATCATCACCACTGTTACACGACAGAGACACACGAGTCTCTGAAACCTTAGGACAAGTAGAGCTTGACACACCAGGGGGCTCTGCTACCCTCCCCTGACTAGTCTTCCCCTTCGAAAAACAACACAGCTTGTGGTGGCCACCGCCACACAGCTCACACTTTGACTGGCACTCCCTCGCCCGGTGTGACCCGGACAAGCAGCGAAAACATGCCCCAGACTGCTTAATCAAGTCATGTCTCTGCGAAACTGAGAGCTTGAGGAGCTCATGACACTCCACTGACCTGTGTGCCTTTCCACAAAATATACATACCCCTGATGATGCAGTCAGAGCGGCTCCAGATGGAGTCCGCGCCTGTCTCACACAGTCCCCGAGAGGCTGGTTCCTCCCAGCCGGTCGAACATCCTTGTGAGGCTGGCTCCTGCCAGCTGCTCGGACGTCCCGGGCCGGCTGAGTTGTCCCCAGCAGCTTGGTGAATGCTCCGGACCTTTCCCTCCTCTCAACTTCTGCTGCCAGGAAGTCCATTAGTGCATTGAGGTCCGCTTCTTTGCCTGGGCCAAGACGGGCCCACTCCATCCTCAGGTCAGGGTTCAGTTTACTGAGGATCATAGGAACCAAGAAAATGCCGTACTTATCACCAGTGACCTCAAGGGCTGACAGGCTACGCACATGGATCAGGACATTGTCAATGAGGGAGCGAAGGGACTGGGATGTTGAAGACAGAGGACCAGTGATAGCTAGGAGCTGCTGAACATGATTGAAGATTATCACTTCAGGCTTCCCAAATCTCTTTGACAATAAATCGCATGCTACTTGATAGTTCGCTGATGTGAGCGACAGACCAGCAACACATCTTGCCGCCTCACCTTGCAAGCATGACTGTAGGTACTCAAACTTGACCACGTCTGGCAACTCTCGTTCACCAACAGCTGCACCGAATCTCTCCCAGAAGGGAATCCATTTAAGTACATCCCCATCAAAGCTAGGGAGATCTAGTCTCGGGAGCTGAGGGCTCAAAGCTGACACAGATGCTGAGCTTACAGCTTCAGGCACGTTACCTTGTCTGCCATCAGAGACAGCAGCTGCAGCAGCTACCATCTTGTCAGCTCTTTCAATGGCTTCTGTCACTTCATCTCTGAACAATCCAGCCTTGATTATATCTTCCAGCATGTCATCTTCAGATTCGAACAGAACTTCCAACTCCAACTGGATGCTGTCCAGTTCCTCCAATCTGCTCTTAAGTTCACTGCGAACAGTCTGTATCCTTGTAACATCAACATCCTGTTCACAGTCATCCAGAACCTTAGAGAGCTTGTTCTTTGTTCGGCTTACCCAGGCCTTGGCAGCTACTCGTCTCTTCTTCGCTTTCTCAAGATCTGCCATATCTCAAGACAAATGAAAACAAATTGAAATGCACACTCGAATAGCACACTGAGTAAATCAATCCCGGTCTTGTTCCCGGGTTTCGGCACCAATGTAACGAAACGACCGGCTCAGCTTGCTTCACCACGTGTGCTTATATTTTCTGCGACCATCACCGGCGCACAACCACCGCACTTTGACTTCAACTTCACACATAATTTCGGCTTCCAGAGTGTATTGGGTTTGACGTCCAATACAGATAACGACGAACGGTAGGTGCGTTATTGCTTGCAGCTCGTCCCGAGGGACCGACGAAAACCAACGACGAAAAACTGCTCGACACCAAGGCCTCGACACACTCAATATACTCTGGCCTCGACACTGTCGTGACCTTGGTCGTGACCGGCGACCGCACCGCCCCACGACACGAACTCGAATGAATGCTAATTCAATGCCTGCCGCTAGATGTCTCCCAAGCTAATTCAATGCCTGCCGCTAGATGTCGCCTACATTATTTACAACACACAGTTTTGTCTGATATGGTTTCCTTCATTGAGTGAAGGAAATTGCGGTCAATAACGCTGTAGAAACAAAAGGGAATGTCGAGGCTGAATAGTCGTCAAGTTCTGGTGTTTAGAGTACCTACCGGGTGGTAGGTACAGACAGACACTAAAGTCAGCAAAAAGTGGGGAGGGCAGTGAACATTGCTGCTCTCCCCCCCCCACCTCCGAAAGTGGAGGGGGCAGGCCCCCCCTGTTCCTACGCCTATGATTGTGCTTGCATGTTACCTACGTTTGATGGTTGAGTCTTCACTTCCAAGCAATTGCCAATCACCTTTCTACAAACGATGTTGAATCGTTAGTTTTCAGGATAGGTGTGAGCTGCGTGCCCCCCATCTCTAGCTCCCCCTCCCCCCCCCCCCCAGCAGACAGCAAAGGGTTCCAAGAAGTCGTTTATTTCAATACTTTTACACTGATGTTCCAGCATCACCGCACTCGGTGCTCATTGGACGTTCCAGTATGGACGGACGAGTCCATTAATTTGCTCAAACAAACGGGGGAGGTAGTTTCCATCCCCATCATGTATAAACAGCACGGAACAAGGTTATTATGTTTGTTTTGAACTAACAAGACTAAATAACGAACCATTTCATAACAAACCAGTGGGCGCAGGTAACACCTCTGGTGTGTGGCCCCGCGCCGGCCCGGCTCGTCTCTGTGTTGGCCGTGACGCCGGCAGCCGGAGGTGGTCGCCGGCCGGCTCCAGTCGGCGCCGCGCGCCTGTCGCTGCCGGCGGCCGGCGGCTCTTATCGGGGCCGCCGCCGGCGGTCGGTATATCAGCAGCGGCGCCGGCCGGCACCGGCCAGTCCTTCTGTGACAGTGCCACAGTGACTGTGTGATTTGCTACTTGCTCGTGACCTCTTACAGCAACAAGATGTCTAACATCTTCGACGCTATCTCTGCCCTCAGGCTGGAGCAGGGGAGGAGGCTGGTGGGGACTCTGAGCCCCGCGGTGCAGCAGCTGGTGGAGAGGTGCGGGTCGGCGGCCCATCTGGTCGCCGACACGCTGCTGGTGGCCACAGACCTGGTGAAGAACCACGGCCCGGGACTACAGGCCTACATCACCGGCCAGGAGGTCGGTGACGCCGTCGGTGATCTGGTGCGCCGCCCTCTGCTGTCGGCGCTGGCGGAGGTCGGGGCCGCCGCCGCCGCCGCCCGGTGTCGTCACTGCCAGCCCCGCCAGCCGCTCCGGCTGGTCACCCGTAACAGGTCGGGGAGCATGGCTGAGGGGCTGGATGACGGTATCATCGGTAAGGGGGGCACGTCGGATTTCGACATAATGTTGGAGTTTGACGGCCCCTTCCGCTGGGCGCCGCCGGGCGCGGAGCCGGCCGACATCGAGCCGCGCTCTGCGCCGCAGCTGTGGGCCCGGCCGACCGACAACGCCGGCTTCGTGACGCTGCACTGGGTGCGGACGGCCCGGTGCGGCCACGAGGAGCCGCTGGAGGCGCTGCCGGCCGACTCCGTCCGTCGGATGATGGTAGACTACTGCCGGGTCATGATGGGTGGTGAGATCACCCCCACCGGCCCGGCAGTCAATGTCAAAAGGCCTGGTAATCCAACAGACGGCGGCGCAGACTTCGTCTTCTGCCTGCTGGTGCGCGGCTGGTGGCCCGCGCCAGTCTGGCCCGACGGCGCCCCCTGGGACACCAGTTTCGGGGTCCACCTGGTGCCCACCGGCCGGCCGGGCAGTAAGACGGAGTTCATTGAGTACCGCATCTCGCTGTCTCGGGCGGAGCTGCTGGCCGTCCGTCAACTCTGCCCGGGGCTGCGGGCTGCGGTTACAGCCCTGAAGGCCATTAAAAACATCCTGAAGGAGAGCGGGGTAGCCATTGGCGACTTAAAGTCGTACTTCATGAAGACGGCGGCGCTCTGGGTGGCCCAGGAGACGCACGGTGGACCGCGGACGGGCGTCACGGACGGCGTCCACCGGCTCCTGGACTGGCTGGAGCGGCGCCTCGATGACGGAGTGCTGCCCTGCTTCTTCTACCCGGCCATTAACGTGGCGGCGGAGCTGACCGCGGACCAGCGGCAGGCCATCATCGGCTCCCTCAGACTGGTGAGGGAGCACCTGACACCCCTCCTGATGGCCTGCTGTGGGAAGCGGTGGTCCCTGAACATCCTGCTGGAGGGGCGGCCGAAGGAGCCGCTCTCAGAGCGCCAGCTGCGGCTCCGTCTGGGACGGACGCTCCTCCTGTCGGCTGTGTTGGAAGGTATCTGGCTCCGCCCCACGGCTCCCTGCTGGGAGAGCTGGTGGAGTCACGCCATCCCCCGCCTGGCCCGCGCGGCCCCCCGCCTGCTCCAGTGGTACCACCACAGGTGCTCGGGGACACACTACCAGCAGTGTTACCTGCTCATGGCCTGGAGCGTGGTGGACCCGGCGGACCTGGCGGACGGCGAGCCGATGACGTCACCGGTCGGTGACGTCACCGTCACGCTAGACGTGACGCCGCTCACCCGGCTCCTCACCGACTCCGACCTGGTGCCCCTGCTGGGTGAGCCGGCCGCGGTGGCCGCCTGGTGTCGCCGGGAGCGGCCGGCCGGCCTGACCGCCGAGCCGGACACGCCGCGGGGCCGGGCCGAGCTGCTGCTGCGGCCCGAGCTGCTGCTGCGGGCCCTCGGTGAGGCCGTGCCGCGGTTGATGGACGTGTGGCGAGAGCTGGACCGGAAGGTGAAGGAGGCCTTGGAGGGGAACTTCCGACCACCGGCCACCTACCAGCAGTGCCGGGAGGTGTTGGAGCGGGACCTCAGCTGTGACCTGCAGTACTGGCTCCGTGACGATCTGCCAGAGATGGACGGCCCGACGGTGGTCGCCACGGCCGGCCTCTGGCGCCGGCGGCTGCAGCAGCTGCTGACCGGTGACCGGCTGCGCGCGGCCTACGACGCGGCCGTCGGCCGGTGGCCGGACCGGTGGCAGCTGCTGCAGCATTACCTGGCGGAGGACGACGAACAAGGTAAGTCCGCCGCCGGCGCCGCCGCGCGGGTTTCGCTTTGGTAACCGAGTTACTGACTGAATAAATGCTATTTAGAAACACAGGCAAAAGCAAGTGGACCAGCCCGGCCGCGAACCCGCGACCTTTCGCTTGGAATGCAACTGCGCTAACTATTACGCCACGCAGACATCTTTCATGGATAGACTTATTAGTGAGTTATAATGAAAAGTGAATTATACTCCGGGTGGCTCCTCCCCCTCCGCTGACACAGACACACACACAAGTGGGCGGTGCACTCCGTCACCCGGTGGCCACAACACTGGACCGGATTGGTCATCACTGTACAGCGGCAATACGAGAGACCACCGACTGTTCAATGGCCGTGGACCGATCCTGAATCAGAATGTGACCCGTGGCATTGATCAATTCTACATATATAAGTGAATTATATGATATGATGTTATGATTAGTATGATTATATGATTAGATGTATGTACCTAGGCTCTATTATATTATCTAAATGCTATTTAGCTATATCATGCTAGTGAATATCTGTAAAGTTTGCATCTCTCAAATGACGTCAAAGTTTATGCAATCCCGTTCATACCTCCAATACAATACCAATACCACGGTGTTGAAAAGCCTCAGTAGGGAAGACTGCCCTTGGAGACAAATGTCCAAGATATGAGCTGCAGTCGGTGCCGAAAGCAGTTTGACAGATGGCAGCACCGTCGACTGATGTCTGTGTAGGTGGAAGCACCAGTCACAGTAACGCCAGACCACAGCTGCAATCACAAACAAAAGGGTTATTGGCAACGAGACGCATACAGGGGCGGAGCTTCCTATACAGTTGGTGGGGCGGCTGCCCCACCAACTTGGTATTTTGCCCCACCAATAAGCGTTTTGCCCCACCAACTTTAGCTGATTTCTAAGACTTTGTTGCTTTGCAAATTAACCCTCGCACGACCAGGCCATTTCTCATAACACGAACGACCAGGGGGGGGGGGGGGGTTTACGACCCCCCCTGGCGTTTCGAAACGGAAGGTCGTAGAGCTTAGCGGAAAAAACCAACGGATTGCTCTCAACGAGATCTCGCGATTGGTGGTATATTTTTGGTCCTAGGTCAACATTTGACCTACTTATGACCGGTCAAAGGTCAAATTTTCCGAAAAAATCAAACTTTTTCAACTTTCCGCGGCGATTGCGGCAAAACGGTGGGAGATATCGACTTGAAACCTTCACTATCGTGTTCCTTAATCAATTCTCTATCGTTTGGTATGTATTTCGTTTCCCTAGCTCTAAAAATGGCGCGTTGGGAGCGCCGGAAGTCGGCAAGGTCACAGTCGGCGGCAGAAATTCGAAAAATCAAAATTTAAATTTTTGAAATCTGATTGTATTTTTGGATTTGGGAGGTCCATTTGCTCCCTATAGAAGCTAATATTGCTGCATATTCCCATTGAGGTGACAAGAATTAGCAAAATAGTGGTTCGGGCGCTTTTCAAAAATAGTACCGGACGCTGTTCCTCTTGTGACGTCATAGCTCCGTGACCTGACCTGACCCGGTCAATTTTCTTGCACCACACGATAGCCAATGCTTGCCCCAACATGCATGGGAAGTTTCATCATGATCCATCAAACAATGTGGGTATCACCGGCAGAAAACCTAGGGATTCGGCGCACACGTTTGGTAACTGTCGGCCGGAGGCTGTACCTCTTATGACGTCATAACTCCGTGACCTGACATGACCCGATCAATTTTTTTCGGCAAAAGATGCGCAAAGGTTGCCCCAGAGGGTATTGAAAATTTCAGCCCGCTACGACAAGCCGTTTAGCGTGCACTTCGAAAAAACCTCAGGGGGGGGGGTTGATACAACCCCCCCCCCCTAGGCGTTCTAGGGTTAATCTTTTTTCGCATTGAATAGCTTTGGAATGTCTGTTTGATGCAAAATAATATGTCCGCAATGATAGGAATTGATTCAGTGTGGCATTTTATTCACCTTTATAATCGGACATTGTGGGTTT